CCTGTTGCTGCACCATTTCTAGTCCTCGACTCGACATTATTTCAGTCTTCAAGTCGTTGAACGCAATACCCAAGCTCACACGGACAATGACAAGGGAGGTTGTTGTAACGCGCCATATTAAGCGCGTGAGTCGATCTCGCGGTGCCTCGAACCAATATACAACAAACCCGTTCTATAGCATAGAAAACGAGGTGTAAGGACGTACAAGCGTCTGGGTAAGGCTAATGTGCGAGAAGAAAGACTAAAGAAACGGCGGAATACCGTCCCCCGTTATATAAGGGTCCGGTATTATATGACGCCGGGGGTACTTTCTAGAATGACCCGTTACAGTTGTAATGCCTTGATTACCGCGTTAAAACAGAGATTGAATAACAGAAAATATAGGCTCACAGCAACAGAAGGCCAGACACAAAATAGGATCTCCTGAATGTACCCATCTTGAATGTACTGTTTGAATGCTGGGGTCAAATGATCCGATGACTTGCCATGAACTAGATACAAGTCAAGTTCAAGGGCAGCGATGGTGATCAGAAACGCAGAATAGATGATCCCCGATTCAAGCCTGTATGGAAGATATCATGTTATCAAGCCTTACAGTGACCGACCATTAAGCTCACGTTGCAGAGATTATGGTTCTGTACATATTCCGTGGTAAGTTTTCAAAATATTGGGCGACTTGCCGAGTTATTGAGAATATTTTGAATGCTTACAGAAATCATCAGTGTTATTAAACCACAGGTGACCTCGAAGTAGCGCACCTATAAGACAAGAGAGGAATAAATTGTTCAGCGCGATTCCCCCAATCCCGACGGTGAAGGACACATAGGCATTCTGAGCTCCCAGCAGCACAGCTGTCCAGAGTATGAGTGAGTGTGTAAGTGAGAGTGATGAGCATCTACCATGACAGCCAATGTAAAAAAGGGATGGGAGGATTACACCCTTCCATGTCCTGCCCCAAACTATGTAGCATCGCCACAACTGCAAGCAAGTATGAGTGACTCTAAAAATGTGACATTATCAAGTTACCAGAATGATGTCAGCTATCAAACTGAATGTTGATGGTTAGCTAGACTGTGAAAGGATAAAGATCGGGGTACGAACTGACCTACTGAGAACACCAATCATCTCAGAAAAAGGAGAGCGACCACTTGTATCTTCATAAACAATAGTGGAGACGTCACGGCCAGAGTAGGACTCCAAGTCATTAATATCCCGTAATGTGTCGAACGCAAAGGTTAGTGATGCTGCAATAAAGATCACAGTATTTGCGACTAGATTATATTTGTGCAATGTCTTGCCGCGTTTGAATAAGATGCCAGTGGATATGCCGAATATCATCACATAGGCAACTTGAAGGAATCAGACAGATGTCACATACCGCAGACGTGCTTGCTCACCATAAAGGCCGGTACTCAGCTGAGCCAACAAGTGAGTAACAGAAAGATCCTGACACCGATAACGACATACCATAGTTCGCACCAGAAGGATATTTGCAGTGGGAATCCATATCACACTCATTATCTGGCGGAAGGTATGGATGGACAAGACAACTGCTTTTATATACATCAGAGACAAATTCAATCAGCATCCGTTTCTGGGCTATTAACTAAGCATTCTCCATCTCGGTCTCTAGATCGTTGAAGGCGGTAGCAGACTTGATTCGAAGGATGACAAGTGATGAAGTGATACCCTGCGTGGATGGACACATCAGCATTGGTCGGTGCAATCGAAATTACAGTAAGCCCAGTACATAAATTCCGTGTCGGAATGGCATCAGATGGCATCACGGTGCATGTGTGGTGCTAACCTACGTAACGGGTCGTTTGTCCTATAACGACGGCAACAGTAAAACTTTAAAGCCTCAACTCATGCCCGCGCTACAGAAGTGGCGTATCAGGAAATTGATACATCGCCCAAAGATAATTCAAACCGTACATTGCTTGGTCTACAGTGCATGCCAGATAGGAATCGGAGAATTGCATAGACAAAAGAACAAAGGGACCTCGCCTCAAGGTAGACTGCAGTGCTGGTACACGTGTAGACGCGAAGCCGAACAGGAGGCAAATGTACTATATCGAGCGAGATGCCTGAAAGCTGAAAGGTGCTACCAGGATTCGGACCTAGGTTTCGGGAACATCGATGCTTCGGGGCTGTCCATCAGAGTCCCGAGTGATGACCACTACACTGTAGCACCTGTTTCTTGATCATACGATTGACATCCACCGTCTCCGTTGGCGAAGGGGACTAACCGCTAGGAGGATGTGGCGGAAAGCCGCTTGCGAATCTTGAACTACTTCAGGGCTTTAGTAATGACGCCACGTCAAAATTATCCCGTTCTCACTCACCAAGCCACAATGATCCGATATCGCGAAGCCCTATACAACGATCTTGATCCTCGAGCCTGCGTATATGTGGATGCATGCCTGAAAATAGACAGATCGAAGGAGTATGAATGGAAGGATGTGCTTGTGAAGTCGAGACGTTGGGAATAGACATTTTGGTACGGAGAAGGAACAACAAACTTGGATTGGCAATGCTAAGGGACGATAGTAAGGTGTGATTGATTACAATTGGTCTTCGAGATGGACAGGGACAGAGATCATTCGGACTGGCATCTTGAACAAGGAGTAAACATCGATTAGGTCGAGCTAGTCGTACTGGGGCTGGAACAAACTATCTCAGACCCAACGAATAAACAAAAAGGAACAAGGAAGGACAAGGAACGAAAGACATCGTAGTGATAGATAAAACACCTCGCTTGCGTTACCCGCAAGTGCGCCCGCTGACCTATTTCCGAGGACTTTACATCTCCAGATGCAAAGAGGCAAAATTTGTAACAGACAGAACCATAGCCCGCCGTGAGATTGTATCCTTTAGATAACCAACACCCATCCATTCCATAAGAGTCTGACGCTCGATCTGATTGAGCTAGGTAGAAACCGCATGAATTTGATCTGAGCCTGCCTCAAGGCGTGTATCATACATCACCCATCACGTACCCTACTACCGAGTTGAGGAGGTCTTTCCTTTCGACTCGTTCCGGAGCTTGATGATATCGATCGAGGGAGGGGCGATTGGAGGATGGCAAGAAAGCGAAAGCGGGAAGGACGTCCTACTTCGACAACGTATGGTAGCCACTATGATTCACCCAGCTTTTGAACAATTGGGGGCGTTCTAAGCTGGTGTATGCCAATGGATGAAGTCGTTGATTGTACAGAAGGTGATGGTTTCTGGCTTGATGAATTGCAGGAATCGAGTGCTTGTTGGGGGATGCGCGAGTTCGAGTATAGTTTATGACTTGGAAGGGCCACATGGCTAGATAAGGATCAGTCAGGATGCCGAAAATCGAACGTGGAATGCTCTTATATTCATTAGATGAGGGACGTTAGGGGTTTCTTCAGCAGGATTGGGACAGAAGACATTGGGATGCAGGTGCTGAGAGCCAAAGGGGATGATGCGACGAAGGAGACTAGTCTGGTATGGTTGCTTCATGCGAAGAGAAGGAATTACTGGATCCCGTAGGCCTGCCATGGGTACAGAACGAGGAATGGGACACGTGAAACTTCACCCTAAGCAAGGAAAAGGCATCGATGGGTCGTGCTACTCGTGTGGGAACGGTGAGTCTACAACTGAGCAAAAAAAATACTCTGATAATCACCTGCATCCTTTGCAACTCCATTTTCTGATTACTCAAGAGACGACCAGTTGGATTCGGAAGGACAGTCGGAGAAGTTGGAAGAAAAACAGAGTTGCTTGCGTAATCCCCAATGGAAAAGCCTCGTGTGACCCACGTGGACTATCTCCGAGTCCGGGGGTGTTGACTCTGACCTTACTTCTACCGTGACGCCTTCCCAGCTAAAATTGAGCTCAAGAGGACATTCAATATTCAATATTCAATATCCACTCCGCAGCTGCGAGATCGTCCCTCGCAGTGGGCTATATCCTGGTCGCAGAGTGCCTTTTTACCAACTTTGGTCATGCGCTGCTCCGACGAAGTAAAACAAGTTATATATCCATCGGCGAATCCTTTCGACTCCGAGCCGGCTCAGACTTTCTAGCCCTTCTCAATCTCGCGTTCGAATTATTCCTCTATATCCCCGTCTCAATTAGCACCATCAACCACTAAACACGGAACATGAGAAACGCACATCACGACTATCCATAGCGGCTTTGTAGAAGAACCCCGCTTTCAACTCCTTATCCACCTCAGAGTTGTCAAGCCACGCTTTAAATTCATCTTCATAAGCTACTTCGTTGAGGGACGTTTTTAGGTCGATGTAATGATTCCGGCAATAACTCCTGTGATGTCTCTTCAGTCTTCAGGTTGTGAAAGGAGAAAGGGGGGAGGTGACTAGACGTACGTCCCAGTAAGATAATCATTCCGCGTGCATATAGTACGATCCTTGGGTTTGGCTCGTGGCGCTTTCTTGCGAGGTGTCGACTCGGGGGAGGGTAAAGACGACTCGGGGCTGAATTGAATTTGTTCCAATTGAGGTAAGTCGATCGATGCTGGTTTACTGGTCTTGCTAGTAATATTGTTGTCCCGAGGCAAAGTATCTGTAGACTCGAATCGAGCATCTTCCTCAGTTTGGCTAGAAAGGATGTTAAAGATTGAAGAATCTGAATTGACGATAACATACCTGTCAGCGGTATTCGACTCCGAGGTGGTCATGTCATCGGTTTTCAGGTCGAGATCCGAGAAACTACGTCTTCATTAAGCTTCGTGCTAGGGTCAGAACAATAAAAGCAAAGCGTACCTAGAGTCATCATCAGAGTCCGAAAACGCAGTGGCCACACTGACGTCTTTAGGGGTGCAGCCATCCAGTCCTTTCACTAAAGTATCCTTGAATAATTCAGGAAGATCCAATCCCGATTCCTCCTCCAAGTCCACGGTGTCGTTATCATCCTTCGAGTTGTCCAAGTCGGGGATATCGCCTTCTTTGTTTTGTACCAATGTATCCTCCACCAAGGAATCCCTTTCTTTCTGGGTATGATAGCTAAGACTACACATAGATGAGCTTATCGTGTCGATAGAGTCGACCTAGAAAATTGTACGCACTTCTTATCATACTCTACCAAACCAGAATCCGAAGTGAGCCTCATGAGACTCCAACCCCATCCAAGAACCACCACCGCAGCAACCAACGCTGGGACAGCCCGAGCCGGCGGGCTGAGGGTGAAGGGAGCGTAGAGTCTTGATGCCATTGCGAGTCAGGAGATCAAGTTCAAGTTCTGTATTTATATTGTACCTACGCGATAGGTTGAAGATGTCCAGATATCATCAAGAATGACCACGTTCAAATACCTCATGTGTAATCCCGAGATCTAGGCAGAGAAGTCACTGTGTTGAAATCAGAATTGTTTGCAAGGCAAGCACTCTAATGAGAGGGAACAATGTTGAACCGGAACTAAATCACTCAAACTGGTGGCCCATGCATCCCAATCAAGAGAACAATGGCCATCATTAGCTCGCTTATCATTTTTCTCGCCAGGGTCCTGCTACGGCCACAGATTGAAACAGGTATTTAACTTACGAGTCAATCCTTTTCGCTGTCATCTGAAGCAACCAGAACGATGTCATCTCTCCAACTTCTCGACCTTGCCTCCGAGATCCATCTCACGATTCTCTACAACATTCCTTCCACGCAGGATAAACTTGCTTTCATCTCCACGTGCCGCAAACTCTTCTACGCTTTTGAGAACGACGTGATCATTGAACAAGTGTATCTTGCTTCAAAGAGAAAGGATGGATGTTTTGGCTTGGACGGAAAAGCATTTGTACGGGATAGAGGAAGTCGTTACCTTCTTCCGGCATTCCGTTCAATTACCTTTGGAGATCACTTCAGAGTGCATAAAGACTTGTTGTATGTGAAGGTTCGGCTGCCAACTCTCCCTGAAACGGCGAACTATCGAAAGGGAGATTTGATTGTAGAGCAGGACGCAGTTTCGATTCATAAACCACGTTGGGTATTACCTTCAGAGTTTGGCCTGTATTTGCCTTTGACTGACTTGGATCTTTCAGCTCACTGGCACTGAAGGGACTTATTGGCTCGCATGGAACGAATACTGCAGAGGGAAAATCGTCAGGGCTACGGGTAAAATGATTCGAAGAACACTCGAATGTCCTGAGTGTGCAGATGAGAGAACTGTCTGTCCTGCTTTCACATGTGGACCTGGAGGGGTTGCAGATAGGTATTGACCCTTGTCCTCGAACAAGTATATGCGCATATACTAATCTGAGTTTAGATGGCCTAATCACGCTATGGAGGAATGTGGCTTGAAGATGCCTTGTCCCTCGTGCATGGGTGCGATTATAGCACGGGAAGCGATCGATATCTACTTGGAAGAAGGTCCAAAGTACGCCATGAAACGATTGGTCGCTCTTGAGCGCATCGTATAATATAAGTCTAAGATTCTTTTGTAATTTCACGTCCATGATTCCATGAAGCAACCTTGTACATCTGTTTGTCCACCAATGCATACATCCCGAATGCGAGAAAATTTTTACAAAGTAGAGGTTCAACCCATTCCCAAAAAGGGGTAATTCTGGACTCCTGAGCGAACTTCTTAACGATGGTCTAGTTTCTGTGCACTACCCAAAAATTAATGCCCGGTTGGATCGGCATAAGATCGGCACGCCCAGGCGCCGTGAAATCACCGACTGACAAAGCCGGCATCAACCACAATGTATTGAATTCAATCATGAAGACATGATGTTGACTGGAACTAAGTACCACATGAAATCAGTTCATTCTCCGCTAACGCAGTCCACAGTGATACTGATCATTGCCCGACACAGACCCGTGCGGTACGGAAACATTACTAGTAACGGCATGATTCGGATCTACCACTCCGCTCCTCGGTGTGGCAATGCCGTGCGTACACATGCTCAAGCATATAATACTTCAGGGTCCTTATAAATGACGTTTGTGGTAATCCAGAGCTCCGACTATATAAAGGTCTTTCATCAAGCTTGTATTGCCAACATCCACAAGACATGAAGTTCGCCGTCTCGTTCTCTCTGTTCGTCACGTTGGGTCTTTCCCTATCCTCTTCAGCCAATCCAGTGAGAAGGGCTCCTCCTCCCGAGCAATGTGCTGAATGGCAATCACAAGTCGGTGTTTACCACAACCATTATAGCCCAGCTTGTAAAGTCCTTGTGCGTGTCACCTTCCTGGCATTTGTCTCGTTGCT